TTTACTGGACTTGCTGGCCGACTTGACTTTGCCGCCCTCTCTTTAGCCGCATGGGAACAATAGAAACTTTGCAGCTTGGGTCTCTCCTTCCCCCCGACCCCCTCACCTCTCAAACTGGCCCAGTGTCTCTAAACGGAAGATTCTATTCTTGCACTGATATGATTCATGCCTATAGAAGCATATATAGTCAGCTGATTATTATTATTTTTCTGGTTCTTGTTTTAGATGTACTTCCTTACTTTGGCAGCCATGACGTGCACCTGTCAGGTCTCCAGTGTGGGGCTTAACAGACAGATGGACCATGGACTCATCCTAACAGTGGAGCCAAGACCACACTTCTGCGTCTCTTGGTTCAACAGTGAGCGAGGCAGGGAGGAAGGCCCAGTCCCAGGAGACACAGGGCTCCTCCAGAAGCACAAGAACTCTTTGTCGCATTATGGAATTTTCTCAGTATGGCACTGCAGTATACAACTGCCCAATCTTCCTTCCCCCCTCCCTTCCGGCCTCCTCTGGCTCCCTCCTCACTACTCCTCCCCCCAACCCTGGCATTCTCCCCCCTAAAAAATCTTTTGGATAGTTCATCCCTTCTTGACTATCTCAGAGGACCTGGACTAACACCACTTCCCATAATAGATTTGGATAAACTAAAAGAAAGAGAGAGGTCTTCCAGGCAGGTAAACAATTTGAATAAAGGTGTGAAGGTAGCAAATCCCAGGGTGTGCTCACACCACATGTGTCCTAAGAGGACATCAAATCCCCATGCTATATATAGCCTAGCAAAAGAAGTGCTGTGTGACCTTGGGTAATTAACTGAGTCTCTCTGGGCCTTGGTTTCACCATTTGCAAACTGGGAATACAAATAGTACCCACTTTGCAGGCTCTTGTGGAGGATTAGACAAGTTAATATGAAAAAAAGTTTTTAAGATTTTATTCATCCATTTGACAGAGAGAGGGAGAAAGCACAAGCAGGGGGAGCAACAGAGGGAGAGGGAGAAACAGACTCCCTACTGAGCAGGGAGCCTGATATGGGGCTCAATCCCAGGACCCCGAGATCATGGCCAGAGCCGAAGATGGACACTCGATGGACTGAGCCACCCAGGTGCTCCTGAAAAAGTATTTTGAATGGTCTAAATTACCAACTAAAGTTAGAGTCATAATTACAAAAATATTTAAAACTCGCCTTGTCTGATGAGGCTGTATTTTAGCTTTGAAGAAGGCAACACACATAATATTTTCCTTTCCAAACATAATTTGTTTGTGGTCTTTGAGCTATAGACATGAACAGGATCTGGTCCCTGGAAAAAGCAGGGATGTGGGAGGAAAGATGTCCTTTCTCAGCCGAGTCTCCCATTTTCTGGAGTTGGGTCTTGACATTGTCCTCATGACCCTATGGCAGCCAGGTAAGAGAGCGAAGGTTAGGAGGGATGAGAGAGTTACCCAGATGTCTTGTCTCTGCTAAACAGCAGACATCTGGACACAAGAAGACTCCTACAGGGAATGTGTGGATGCTTGTCCCTGGGTGACAGCCCCTGGGAGAGGTGGAGGGAAGAAGGAATTTCCTGAGACTCCACCTGACATGTGGGCTTCACCTCCCAGAAGAAGACTTGGATGCCAGGGTGGAACCCTGCTGGGTAACTCTCTGCCATCGCCACTACTGGCAAAGTGCCCATTATACAGATGAAGTAGTTGAGGCACAGTGAGATGAAGTGATTTGCTTAGGGTTGTGTAGCGAGCGAGCTTGGGATTTGAATTTAGCTCTTAAACCTCGTATGTCCCAGCCCTTCCACCACAGGCTGAAGGGATGGCCCTTGAGTCTTGAGGCCATACCATCTTCAGTCTTGAGGCCATACCAGCCCTCAGCAGGGCCCTGTCAGGCCTCCTGGGTCAGGGGAGTTTGGAATCTCTGCTTCTTGCCCTAGCCTGCCTGTTGGGCAAGACACCATAGCTGGATAGTTGGGCCATCTGTGAAGAAGATACCCTATTAGCTTAATCAAGTTAGCAAGCCTGGCCTGTAGTAAAAGTGAGGCTAATTAGATGAAGGGACACCCTTGAAAGCTCACATGGGCCGGTACTGTGAGAGGTGCTTTGGATGCATTTATCTCACGGGGTCCTCACACAGCCATGCCCCGAAGGTCGTCTTAGCTAGAAATGTTTTTGGCTGCACGTAAGAGAAAAATCTGACTCATGGTGTCTTTGGCAACACAGACAAATTCTTAAACAAAAGCCTGGAGATAGGTGGTTCCTGGGATAGCTATTCTTTAGCTCGGGTTTGGGGTTCTGCAATTTTCCTGGCCTCCCCTCAGGACACCCCACCATCACATCCTCACACTACAGCCTCCAGAGAAGAGGAGGCAAAGAGGAAGGGAAAAAATCTCCGAGAATCCCCCAGCAGAGGTCCAGAAGGCTCCCACATGGCCTCACCAGGACCAATTCCTAGCAAAGAGGGATATCCCTGCTTGGGCCAGACCAATAGGAAGAAGGCGGGGCCGCCTTCCTAAACATGTGCCCCATTCCTGAATGAAATCAGGTTCCATTAGCAAAGGTAGGGGCCAGGGGCCCCAATACATTCTTCTCTTATTGATGTGGGAACAGCTGGTCTCCATCCCCCTGGGGTGAGGGAGGGGGAGTCGTCCCTAGATTGAGTAGGCAGGAGAGACATACTATTTGGGAGTGATTTGGACTGGGGAGCTGCTGGTTTACATTCAAGCCTGGGAAGTGAGGTGGAAGAGCTGACATTTATTGAGCACCTACTGTATACCAGCCCCCATGCTGGATGATTTCTGTCTCTCATCGTGTAAACCAGTCCTCACAACAGACCTATGAGGAAGGAATTATTCTGCCCATTTTTCAGATGGTGAAACTGAGACCTAGCCCTGATCACATATATGGTGAGAGGCTGAACTGGATTAAGTGCTGACAGCAGTTCACTTTCACAAATGCTCCCTCGTGTATCTGGCATCCAAGACGTGTCCGCCAGATCACGTCATTTCCTCAGCTCCACTGACAAGGCACCCTGCCTCAGGGAGGTGAAGCAGACTGCTCAGAGTCACACAGTTGAGCATTGGCCAAGCTGGGCTGTGAACCCCACTGCCAGAAGGCTGCCCCATTGTGCTCCCCAAATTTGGATAAAACCCTACAAGCCTGTTCTGTGGCCTTTTTGGGATTGTTGGCTTTGTAGGCGGATAAGCTAGATAAATAAACAAGAGGTTCAGTCAACTCCTTTTGCCTCTTGATGTTCTGAATCCAGAGGACACATGAGGGTCATCCAGCTGCCTTGACAGCCAACATTAAACAGGCAAATAAATGAATCTTTAACATCATAGCAGGAATGTTAAGTACTGTCAAGAAAAAAACTGAAACAGGTTAAGGCAATAGAGAATGACGGCATGACCGCTTTAGACCAGGTGGTCAGGGAAGGCCTCTTGGAGGAGGTGACAGTTGAATAGGGAGAGCGGGATGAAGGATGTGATGGAAAGAGCCAGCTGTGCAAGTCCTGAGAGATGGTTGGAGACAGAGGGAGTATTGCATGCAAAGGTCCTCCTTGGGGAAGGACAAGAGATGAGTGTGATTGGAGCAGAGTTGGGGAGGGAAACAGTGAAGGGCATGAGGTTAGGGAGGGAAAAGTGGGAGGCGGCAGGTCATGCTAGTCATTAACAGGACCTCATAAGAGCTGTGCTTTGAGTGAGATGGAGCCATGGGAAGTTCTGAGCAGGATTCAGTTACAAGATCTGACTTGGTTCTAACAGGATTCATCTTTGGAGCAAGGAGGCTGAAACCAGGAGACCAAGGAGGAGGAACAGCTCCTCCAGGGGGCTACTAGAAAGACAGAAAGGAAACCTGCCTAAAGGCACCAGCAGGGGTGCCTGGGGGCTCAGTCCGATAAACCTCTGGCTCTTGCTTTCATCTCAGGCCATGATCTCATGAGTCAGGACGTTATCCGTGGGGAGGTCAAACCCAGCATTAAGAGATCACTCACGATCATCACGGAGTCCGCTTGTGATTCTCTCTTTCTCTCTCTGTCCACCCCCCTCTTGAATAAATAAATAAATCTTAAAAAAAAAAAAGGGCACCCAAGCAGTAAGAAACAGACATGGGATTAGAATCAGGCCTCCGCCTACTGACTCACAACAGTCACCTGTGCCAAGCACAGTTGTTTGCAACCTCTTTTCGCTGACAAGTTCACATTAATTTCTCACAACTTCGACATGTCTGTTCTGACCAGGAGCTGGCCTCAGAGCCGGTGTAAATCATTTGAGGAGTCAGTGGTGAGCGTGGGGGCGGGGGGTTCCTCCTAGCACCCAGGGGTGGTCTCTTGCAGAGTTACAAGACCTGGAGACTGGCACCCTCCATCACTCAGCCTCTACTGTGCTCCAGTACGGGTCTGGGTGCCTTACCGGGTTTCCTGCAGCAGGGGAGGACTCGGTGACTCAGAGCTAATCCGGGGCAGCTGTTGTAGCTCCGTTCACTGTGCTATTGAAGGTAACAGCGCCCTGTAATCCAGCCAACCCCACCTAGTCCAAACAGGCTAGAGAACTCCAGGTCCGGGGTGAGGATGGGATGAGACTGTAGGTAGAATGTGGGCCTCTCCCACGCCTCTTACTACATCTACCCGTGTCCCCACATCACCTCCCATCCTCGTACCCCCTTCCCTATCCCCATCACCCCTGGGTTTCCCCATAGTCCATCTCCTCCTCTTCTCCCTCCCCTCCCTCCCCAGAACCTACCATCCCTCCCTCCCAGGAACCCCTCCTCTTCCCTGCATCACCCCTCCCGTCCCACCTTGTCCATACCGCCCCCCGCCCCCCAGCTGCCCTCCGCTCCATCCCACATTTTCCACCCCCCTTTCCGGGCCCTGGCAGGGGGCCGCGCCGCCGAGCTGGGGGAGGGGCTCCCTGAGGGCGCCCCGCCCCCCGGGACCCCGGCGCCGTCGGCGGGCCCGCCCCCTGCCCCACAGCTGCAGGCGCGCGGGGAGCGAGGGCGGCTGGGCCGAGAGGCACCTGAGCGCCCCGGAGCCCGCGCGCCGCCGCACCCCGCCCGCCGCCCGCCGCCCCGCCATGTCCTGGGCCCTGCTCCTCGGGCTCCTGGCTGCGCTGCTGCTGCTGCTGCTGCTGAGCCGCCGGCGCACGCGGTGAGTGTCCCCGCCCGTCCCACCGCCCGGACAAAGGGGCGCCTTCGTGGGGTCCCGAGCCGCGCCGGCCCGCCGTCCCCGCTCCCCCGGCGGAGCCCCCCGCGAGGGGCGAAGGGGCTCTGGACCGGTCCGCCGCCCCACCCCGGGGAGGGCGCCCGGCCGCGCCGCCGCCGCGAGAGGCTCCCCGCGGGGAGGAGGCGCGGGAAGTAGGGGACGGGGTGGGGGACCCGTCCGATGGCTCCCGGTGCACAGCGCTCGGCCGGCACCTGCGCCGGGCTTTCGGGGCAGAGAGCCCGGGGTCTCCCGGTGGGGAGTGGGTGCGTGGACGGGCTCGAGCGGCTCCGGGTGCGAGAAGCCCCCTCCTGCTCCTCAGCCTCTGCCTGGGTCCCCCTATTCGAGCCAGTCCCCAGCCTCTGTAGGGTAGCCTTGCTCCTCGCCCCATTGCACAGATGCGAGTGTTGAGGCTGGGGAAGGCAGAGGCCCTGAAGGATGCCCTTTTACCGGCCCTGGAACCATTTTCCATGGGATACCCCCTCCTGGACGAGGGAGCTCCGTAGGCTCGGACCCAGAAAGGGGTCTCCCCTCCCCGGAGACCCCACAGCCTGACAGGGTAGACCAGGGACCAAACTTAACAGCTTTCTCATCCCAGAGGTTGTCCTGCTCTGCTATTTAGGATATGCAAATCTCATACATCTCAAATCAGGGACATGGCAGTAGGTCTTTCTTTTATAAAATATTTAAAAAATTGATTTGGAATAGCCCATGGAATAGCTGAGTACATTCGACTTGAGTATTTGTGCTGTTATAGATAAGACTGAAGCCCTTCCCTTCCTTTCCGGCAATTTCAGACTTCTTTGTTGATCAGGGCTCCCTCATAGGGCTGCCTGAGAGCAGGGCTGGCGGGGAAACTTCCAGATTTTTTTTTTTAAGTACGCTTTTTATTTTAGACTGCTTTTATATTTACAGAAAAGTTGCCAAGGTTGTACAAAGAGTGCCCAAATACCCCTCATCCAGTTTCCGCCGTTGTTAACACTTTACACTATGGTGGTAAGTTCGTCAAAACTAAAAACCAAGACTGGTCCGTTAAGATCAAGCAAACTCCAGACTTAATTTGAATTTCATCAGTTTTTCCATCATGTCCTCCTGTGCCAGGATCCAGTTCAGAGTACCACACTACCTTAATTATACCTCTTCCACGGGGCTGTAGGTAATACAGGGCAGTGTGTGTGTGAGCATGAAATGAGAGAGTGCCTGAAAATTCCAGAACATTTCTGGGAACTTTTAATTTTTAAACAATGTATGTTAAATTTCCAAACAATAAACTCATGATATTTTCCTTCAACCTCTGGACACCTTTTCAGGTTAGATTTAAAACTATGTATTCATTCATTTGCCTGAAAAAGTAAATGAGGAAAAAAGGAAAAATTTAGTTTTTTCTATGAAGAAACGAATTATTCTTCGGAAGTGGTCAGGCTTTTTGGAAACTCTGGAGGTGTTTTCAGTCTGTGCATTTGTTTTTTTTTTTCCCCCCTCCAGATTTTAGTTTTATATCCGTCCATATTGCTACATGGAGATCTGATTCATTCTTTTGATTGCCTGTGTAGTATTCCATAGTAGGAATAAATGGAAGGTTTCTTTTTTCCCTTTTTATTCCTGTCCCCGTTGATGGACTCTTAGGTTGTCTCCAGCGTTTTTGCTGTTTCGGACAAAGTGTTGTGGTCTTCCCTTGAGACCCACTCCTCTGTGCTCTACTCCGGGGTAGATGGGGCAGCCGTAAACCACATAGATTCTGGGAGGCAGAGTCCCTGGGTGCTCAGCCTATGGAAATTCTCAGCCTCTAGGAATAAGAACAACCTGAGTGACTTCTCTCTGCCTTAGTTCTCCAATCTTTAAAATGGGGAGGATAATGGGAATAGGAGAGAGTGGAATTGCTGGGTTAGAAAAAATGCCAGTTAAATGTTGTTTGAGAAAATTCTTGCTCTAATTCAGAGAGCAAATTTATCTTTGGGGGTGTGTTGTTGATTTTTATACCTGGTGGCTTAGGAGGGCCAGCAAGTGGGTACTGGGGAGAAGTGTGGGTGTCGGGGTCACGGACAGCTCAGGGGCAGCTGGGAGGACCCTGGGGAGATCCCACGGGGACTCCACAATTCAGGTCTCAATCTCATTTTCTTCTCCCAGCTCAGTAGGGGGCACTCTTGTTCCTTCCATTTTACAGAGGAGGGAACTGAGGCTCAGGGAGGCTAAGCTACTTGTCCAGGGTCTGCCTGGTTTCCAAATCTGGGCTGTAAGAATTTTTAATTCCCCGGAAAAACGAATTTCCATGCTCCCCACACAGTTTATTTGTAATCTGAACACTCAAAAGTCTTAGAACCATATGATGTTAAGATGGTAAGATGTGGCTGTAACCAGAAGGTTCTTAAGGAGGGACAAATAAGTGTTGCAAAAGAGGCATCTGACCCTAATGCTGTGTAGAGTGAGCCAGTGTGAGTCAAACAAGGAAAGCCCAACACCTTCCCTTCTGCTCGCTGACCCTCGAGGTACGGCTCACCACACTGCGTTATGGCTGAGGCCTGCAAGGGCTCGGTGACCTCCTCAGGGCCACATAGGAATTATATCCCACATCTAGCTGGTTCCAAAAATTCATGCTTTTCTCAGTAAAAAGCGAAAAGGAAAAGGAAAGGAGAAGAAGAACGACTTCAGTCGATTAGCAGCTGTCTTTACCTCTCATTTGCTTTTTAAGTTAAAATTTGTAATTATCAAAAATCTCAACTATCCAGAAAAATAATAGCGTAAGAATCCCCACGTATGGATCCCCTTTTGATCTGACAGCATTTTTACAAAAAAATTACAGATGGTATAGTATCTCTCCAGGGAATATTTCAGAATGCGCATCAAAAACAACTACGGTTCTATTATTCTGCCTGAGGATATAAAAATTCTTAATGTCCTCTAGTCTCCAGTCCAGACTTCTGCAGTTACGGCAAGGATATTAAAACCCAGCTTGGTAACTGTGACTGTCTTCTGCTGGGACAGGTTGTGAGCTGGAATTAGGAGGCCTTGGGTCGGTAATTAGGAGTCTGATTTCTGTGACCACTGGGGCTCATGATCTGCAGACAGGTGTCAGAAACCTTCTTCCTGCTTTCCTTTCGGGCCTTGGTTTCTCCATCCGTACCCTGCGTGCCTTAGCCACTCTGCGGACAGAGTACATTGCCCTCTCTTGCTCTCTGGGCGCATGTGTCTGCTGCTTGCTCTAGGAGTACTGGAAGAGGTCTCCGGGTGGGAGTCCCCTCTTCCGGGGCACCAGAGGGCACCCTAGCATCAGGTGAGGGTCCCCTGGTGGCCCAGGATCTAGGCCTTTGAAGGATACGAAATTTCTAGGCACAATTAGATCTATCTCATTCCAACATGCACTAACCAGAGGCCGCCAAATGGAGGTCCATGGCCAGATTCAGCACCAATGAGGGGCTGCTGTGTGCCACACAGAGAGCAAGAGGAGAAAATTGGGGAGTTTCCACAAACAAAATTCCCCATTTCCAACTCCTCATGAAAAATGGGACAATGGAGCAGCACCTGAGGGGTCTCCAGAGAAGAGCCCTCTCCCAGACTCGCCACAGTCCCCACCACTCCTTGTTGCCTCTCTTGCCCATCTGTTCTATCCCTCTCCTTGCTCTGACTGTTCCTTACTTTGTTGAGAATTCTCTGAACCTTCTGTATCGGTTACAAAAACGGGAAGACAAAAACTAGAGCAAAATGGCCACATGCTTTTTCTACACAGTGGGAGGCAAGGGGCAGGAGGTGGGAAGCCAAAAGGAGTCCTTGGAAAGGATGGGTCCAGCACTTTAAGTGGAAGCTCAGGTTTCGGAAACCAGCCCCCCGCTGCCTCCCCCAGGAAATCGTCCCAGAGCCCAAGGCTCTGAATGGAGGCACACTACTGGATAGAAAGGAAGTCTACCCACACGGCACAGCTGAGTGACACAGCCTCTGCTCTGGGCAATCTGGAGTCCCTTGACTCCCTCAGCAACTCTAGGGGGCAGGTGCTGCTCTTTGAGCACCAACTGAATACATGAATCATGCATCTGACACGTATGTCCTAGACGCCTGCTCTGTGCCAGGCGCTGGTGTAAGTGTTGGGGGCGGCGACAGGTGTCTACTTTGGTGGAACTTCCGTCCTGTGTAGGTATAATACTTCAGGGCACAAAGCGGGGGTGATACGCATCCTTAACTCCCTCCCTTTATTTGCAGAGTGTTGAGTGGGAGAGAGATGGGACAGGTGGTGAGGCTGGCAATGGAGTCTGTGAGTGAGGAGTGGGCAGTTTGGGAGGAACCCATGTGATGGGAACTAAAGCTGGGGTGGGAGGGGGGGTGGTGGTGGTCAGAAAAGGTGTCCCGGAATCTGAAACAGGAAGGGCAGGCTGTGTGGGCAGGAGCTGGGGATGAGAGGGTCCAGCACTCCCCAGGGCCTGACAGTGCCTCAAAATAGTGAGAGTGGTTGAGGCTAGAGACCGCAGACCCCAAAATAGAGCCTCCTTCATCCCTGCTAGCTGATGGCTGAGTCACCCTGGAATGTGGCCTGGGCCGGAGCTGGATTCAGAGCCCAGCCTCCGAGAGCCAGTGACCACATCAGGAGTCAGACGCCTGGGCTCCCAGCTTCCTGCCTTTGTCTGAGCCTCCTTGGGACTTTTCTGGGGGGACAATGGAAGTTGCCAGAAATAACACCTGACTTGTGGGAGAGTTCTGGCAGCAGCCCGGACAAAGAGCAAGGAAAGGAAGCTCTAGCCCTGCCCCTACCCCCAAAGATGTCTTGGGGGAAGAAAAGCCCCCCGTCCTGGAAGTAGGGGAGCCGGATGCTAGCCTCGCCTCCACTTCCATTGTTGCTCCCCTGGCTGATCACAGTAGTCTCTGTGTTGAGACTTTTTTTTTTTTAAAGGTTTTATTTATTTGACAGAGAGATAGAGAGTACAAGTAGGCAAAGCAGCAGGCAGAGGAATAGGGAGAAGCAGGCTCTCCACTGAGCAGGAGCCCAATGTGGGGCTCGATCCCAGACCCTGGGATCATGACCTGAGCTGAAGGCAGCCGCTTTAACCAACTGTGCGCCCAGTGTGGAGCCTGACGCAGGGCTCGATCTCATGACCCTGAGATCACGACCTGAGCCTAAATCAAGAGTGGGGTGCCTGTCGGAGCCATGGTGGCTCTTTGTCTTTTTACTGTTGAGTTATATCTCCTTTATCTTATCACACTTCCCACTCCCTGAAATGCTTTTGCTTTTTTTTTTCTTTTTGTCTGCCTCCCCTTATGAGTATGGAAGAGCCGTGAAGTCAGGCGCCTCGCCTCTCCGCTCGCGGCTGTATCTCCAGCACGCAGAGCGGTGCCTGCTCCCTAGTTAGTATTTGCTGAGCGAGTAAATGACTGTGGTGACTGGAGATGGGATGACTCAGTCATTCAGCAGACCAGGAGCTCTCTGCATCCCTGTGGTCCTGATAATTCTAAGATGAGAACACTCCTTCCAGTCTGGGTCAGTCATGGTGGTGACGTAGCTCTCCCTAGCTAACAGCCCCTCTCCCAGAGGATGGTGGGCCAGGGGTGGCCGGGGGTCAGTGATCAGGCCAGTCCTTCCACTATCTTCTGCCACTCCCACCATGCTCTCCAGTCTTGACTTTTCCCTGTGGGCATGACAGGGAGTATGAGGTGACCAAAGCCCTGTCCAGGCTGGCTCAGGCAGAGAGCTCTGGGTCCTTGTACTACTGAGTTCTAGAAAGCTCTCACACCCACAGGGAAGTGATTGGACTTCCTAACATGTACCAAGGTCTACTGGTCACCCAGCTTTTGCTCTTGGTCCCCTGTAATCCATCTTCTACTCAGTAGCCAAAAGGATTCTGGAAAGAAAGAAAAAAAAAAAAAAGCCTAAGTCAAATCATGTCCTTTTGCTACTCGAGACTCCCGGGGCTCCCACCTCACTCAAGAGGAGAGGCTAAAGTCCTCACAGGTGCGTCCAGACCCCTGCATGGTCTGGCATCCGTTACCAATCTGGCCTCAGCTTCTGCTGTTTCCCCTTGCTCCCTCCAATCCAGCCACATTGGCCTACTTATTGTTCTAGGAACACACCAGGCATGATGGCGCCTCAGGGCCTTTGCACTTGCTCCTTCTGTCCGGAAGGCTCTTCTTCCAGATATCTATGTGGCTCCTTCCCTCACCGCCTTCAGATCTTTCTCAAATATTTCAGGGAAGCCTGCTCCGCCCTCTCTACTTAAAAATCACACCCCATGCCCCACTCTCTTTGTCTTCTTCCCGGCTTAATCAAATGGTGATAAGTACTGTGGCTTCTGCAGGCGACCTGGCGAGCCTCCCCTGGACCTGGGCAGTATCCCTTGGTTGGGCCATGCGTTGGAGTTTGGAAAAGATGCTGCCAGCTTCCTCACTAGGATGAAGAAGAAGCATGGTGATATCTTTACTGTAAGTGCCGCCTGTGCCTCTAGGGGCAGGAAGGGAAGGAGATGAGCAGCTGGGCTGGCCATACTGGTGTTCGCAGATTCCTTCTACATCCTTCCATACACTAACCCACCCATCCACTGGTCCTACCAACTTTCTATCCATTTTTCCATCCAACTGTACAGTCGGCACTTAACTAACATCCGTTCCTTCATTGTCCCTTTAGCATCTTCCCATCATTGAGTTATTCGATGTCCAGTTCTTGTATGTCCATCCAGCCAACCCCTATCCATCCACCCAGCTTCCATCTACCCAACAACCATCCATCCATCCATCCAACATTTATCCATCTTCCTGTCTACTCAGTATATAAGCAGCATCCTTCCATCCTAATATCCATTAAACCCTCATTCATGTACTCCATTTCCATCAAACCTCTATCCACTCACCCATCTTTCCATATATCTATCTAACATCTGTCTATCCATCCATTTATCCATCATCCAACCTTTCATCTGTCTACCCAAATGTATCTAGCATCCTTCCATTCATGTACCTAACATCTATCCAGTTTTTATCTATACATTCAGTATTTTTTTTGGGGTGAGCCTAGTGCGGGGTTTGAACTTACAACTGTGAGATCAAGACCTGAGCTAAGATCAAGAGTCAGGCAGTTAATTGACTGAACCTCCATATGTTCAGTTTCTACCAACTTCCATTTATCTACCCATCTTCCTGTCCATCTGCCACTATGAACCTAACATCTGGTTACCTATCCATCCAGTATCCAATGTCTGCGTACTCTGTGTGCATCTATTTATGTCTCCATCCATCCATCCATCCATCCATCCCCTCAACATCCAAACAACCAGCACATCCATCTACCTTCCATGTATCCTTTCAAGTTCCACCCATCCAGCATTCATCCTTCAATCCTTTTACCCAGTATCCACCGAGGACCCTGCCATCGTGTACCCAACATACATTCAGACTTTTAGTTTCCAGCTAACCTTTAGCTACTCCTGCATTCATCTTTCCATCCAACATACATTCACTGACGACATCCTTCTGTTTACCCACCCATCTAACAGTCTGTTCAACAGCATATTTTCTTGGATATTGGCCTATATTTCAAAGATTTATTTACTTATTTTAGCGGGTGGGGGTGGGACAGAGAGAGGGAGGGGGAATCAGCACAAAGCCCAATGCGGGGCTTGATCTTATGACCCTGAGATCATGACCCAATGGTCTGTATTTTATAAGAGTTTGATTAACGTGACTCCCAGATCACACTTTGGAAACGGGCCAAGGCAGTGGGTGGTTAGGATTGTGTGACCCGCCCCCCTGCCTCCCCCCCGACCCGCCCCAGCAGATGTTTGAGGGAAGAATGCCGTTTCCTTTGTTAATTACAGGCTTACAGCTCTCCATGGCTCCTTCCCTTCTTGGGCAGCATAGCCTCCCACAGAAGCAGGTACTGCTGGCACGTCCGCTAGCCTGAACCCAACAGCATCCCTTCATCCGTCCGTCCGTCTGCCTACCCAAGACGCACACAGCATCCATCTGCTGCCTTCTGGGGGGCACACTCTCCCCTGGAGGCTGGGGATCTGGCAGTAACCGAGATAATGATGGGAGGTACTTAAGAGCGAGGTGGTTAAGAGCACAACCTGTGATGCAGAAAAGCCAGTGGCTGTCCTCACTCTACCACGTCTCAGCTGCGTGATCTCAGGCACATCCCATGCCTTCTCTAAGCCTCAGTTTCCGGCCATCAGTGGTCCCAACCTCATAGGGTCGTCATGAGGGGTGGCTGAGAGGACACTGTGTGTTAAGTGTCTAGCACAAGGTGGACCCCAGGCCCTGAGAGCTGCTGTCCTTCATAGCGGCTCTCCTCACTCTGTCCCTGCTGACCTCCCACAGGTGCTGGTCGGGGGCAGGTATGTCACCGTCCTCCTGGACCCCCACTCCTATGACGCGGTGGTGTGGGAGCCTCGCAGCAAGCTGGACTTCCACACCTATGCTGTCTTCCTCATGGAGAGGATTTTCGATGTGCAACTCCCACATTACAGCCCCAGTGATGAAAAGGCCAAGATGAAACCGTGAGTGGCTGGAGATGGGGCCTGCGGGAGGCCGGGGAGGGGCTGATGGGCTTCTGCATGGGTAGCCCGGGTGCCGTGCGGCCCGAGTTCATCTCTGCAACAGGCATCCAGTAACGGCATTTTGTTCTGAGAAGACAAACAAACAAAACAAATAATAGCCCAAGAGAATTAGGCAGAAGAAAGGCTGCTTTCATTTTTATTCCTTTTCGGAGGCGGGTCTGATTTCAGTAGGCGGAGACCGGGGTTTGGGTGGGCCGGACCTGGATTCAGATCCCAGCTCGATCACTTCCTAACTATGTGATTTTGAGCAAGTCCCTTGCCCTCTCTGAGCCTCTGTTTCCTCATTGTAAAAGGAAGGGAAGTGGGTGGGGTGATTATTATTTTTGAGTCCATATTCTGTGATCTCATTAGCTTTCCCAGCGATGCTGGAGGGTAGGTCACTCACAGCCCCCACTTTTTGGACGAGGACACTGGGACCCAGAGAGGAGCAGTGACTTGCCCTAGGTCACACAGCAAGAAAGTGGTGCCAGTCCTAAAACACAGGAATCATTCTGTCAACAAGAGGATATGTGAGCACATTTATTCTGCATTCATTATGTCTGCAAATATCTGAGGACCTACTGTACGCCAGTCGCCGTCTAGATGCGGGGCGGGGCTGCACCACGATGCCGACCTGCCTACCATATGCTGGTATTCGCTAGGAATGCTTTACTCTCTGGGCCATTGCCTCAAGAGATAGGTACTTTCATCCCTATCTTACAGTTGAGGAAACAGACTCAGGGAAGTAAAGTGACTTACCCACAGTCCACCGTTAGCAGATGGCACCCCAGAGATTTGAACTCGGATTTGCAGACTCCACAGCCTAGTCCCCTCCAGCTGAAGTACTGAGGAAAGAAGTCTCTGGGTCTGCTAGAGTTCACGCAGTCTGATGGTGATTCATAGTGGTCTGTCTCCAGGAAGGATAGCCTCCTGGGGTTAGGAAAAGCGTCTAGAATGGGTTTTGCAGGACTGCTAAAGCTGAGGAAAGCCAGAGTGTGACATGAACCTCAGTGAGAGGCGATTCCCAGTCTGACCTTGGCTTTGTGGGGTGGCTGCTAAGAATATTTTTGAGCCCAAGTGTCCTCAGTCCTGGCATTCTAGGGGGACCATCAGGTCCCATTGGCAGTAAGAATCCCCAGTTCACTGCATTCTGTCCCCCTACCCAGGGAGGCCTCCGCTTTCCTCCAGTGTCTGCGCTAAGAGATCCTGGGAATTTCCTCCACTGTCTGCCCCGAGTGTTCCTGGGAATTCCCCATCAGCCAGCATGTGGTCTTCTGGGCATAGCTCCCACGTCTGTTAAGGGCTACTGTCTCCATCAAAGACTAGTGCTTAGTGTGGGGTCTGGGTCACTGGTGGGTCAAGGTCAATCACTAGGCCAGCTCCCATTTATCCAGCACTTACCATGTGCAAGGCATGACAGTAAGCCCTTTTACACGTTATCTCACCTGTGTCATGTCTCTCGTGTCTCCAACAATGTTTCAATTTGAACATCCAAAAGCTTATATTTCCTGGGAGTTTGTGGAACCCTTCTGGAGGCTTTCCCCTCTTGAGTTAATCTAGAACCCAGTGGCTTTCTCCATCTACAGGGGTCCACCCTGATTCCGAACAGCAGGTGGAGACAGAGAGCAGGAGGGGTCAGCCCACTGGGCCTGTTCTCGGTGCTGCCTCGAGGTGTCTCTGTGAAACGTTCTTTCTGCCATGTTAAGTGGACACTGTGGGCTTGGCGTGGGGGGAGGTGGAGGATGCGGGGGTGGGGTGACCTTTTCTGGTCTAGATGCCTGCTCATGCTCCAAAGCGGCCTTCACCTCAGACACAAGATCATACCTTCGGTTGGTTTCTAATCACAGGCTCAGCCTTGGCTCGGTGTTGGCTCTGCACTGTGGAGGCTCAGTACAGAGGGGCTTCTGCTTTAGCCACACACCCTGCAAGGCTCCTAGGCACACGTGGTGAGACCAGGTCGCCAGCTCAGGCGACCTAATTCCTCGTGTCGCCTTCACTCGGGGTCATGTCTTTGCAGACCTTGGCCAGGGGGATGCTTTACCCAAACAGGTGTCACTAACTTCAGATCTCAAGGAGAAAGAGTTCCCTGGCTAGTTCTCTCTCCTCCAGAAGTGTGCGGGTTCCTTATCCGAGCTTGTGTGTCCTGAGGAGGGACAGACTGTCATGGTCAGGAGTTCAGACTCTGGGGTGGGGTAGACCAGGGTTTCAATCCCAGCTTCATCGCTTACTGGCTGTGTGACCTCGGGGAAGTTGTGTTCTTCTCTGTCCCTGAGTTTCTCTGTCTGTAAAATGGGTGGCATGGTAGTACCTGGGATCCCTAGAGTTGTCAAACGATGAAATGAGATCATGACACTTGGCACAATAAAAAGCAACTGCCACTGTCATTGTTATTGACAATGATCATAGTAATAATAATAATAATATATTTATGCCAATTGTCTACAGGCCCCCATTGCCAATGAGGAACCAGAGCCCTGGAACCCTAAGGTTTGAGGATGGGGGGCACCTGTATGCACGTTCCCCTTCAGAGGCTGTACACTTACTCTGTTCCCTGCCTTAGGACCCTCCTTCACAGAGACCTCCAGGCACTCACAGACGCCATGTATAGCAACCTCCGCACCATCCTGCTGGGTGACACCTCAGAAGCGGCCAGTGGCTGGCACGAGATGGGTCTCCTCGATTTCTCCTACAGCTGCCTGCTCAGGTGAGCCAGGGTGGCTCCCCATCTCAGGAATGGAGCCCAGCTGCCCGGACCTGGGTCAGCCACTGATAGTGACCACAGGAGCCATGAAGACTTTATGGGTGAGGAAGCAGTTTGGGACACGCAAAGCAAAGACTATAAGATGACCTGTTGTATCTGGGATCCCAGGAGTTTACCTGGCTCAGGCTATGAGTTGAAAAGGAGGCTCACCCGGGTCAGGGAGAGGGACCTTGCCAGCGGTCCGGAGAGGGAATAGCAGATCAAGGTTTTAGAGACCGTCTTGTCCCGTGGCTTCCAAACCTGGGACTTCACAGACCAGGAAAACAGTATTTTGGAGACCAACCCAGGACTTGAATATTTTTTTTACCAGATCTTGTAAACTCAGATCACACACCACACTATCCAACGTCCCTTCCTTCGGCAGTGGCAGACACGATTCCAAGCTCCGGGCATACAGCAGGGGGGAATCAACACCCGAAACTCATACAGCTGACACGAGCTGGAGAGACAGATCACAAACCAGTAAATAAAGACGGATGCGTCCGAGAGGGGAAACATGGCAGCAGAGAGCAGCAGATGGGACGAGAGTGCCTAGGGGGCTCTTTCGACCAGACTGGAAAGGAGGCCTTTACCGAGCGTCTGGCCTCAGAGTTGGGGGCTGGCTACAAGTGCTACCCCCCACCCACCTCTGCTGAGATTGTAGGCAAAGGAGTCAGCAGGTGCAGAGTGGTGGAGGTAAGAGGATGCTTGGCCAGAGGGCCAGTGCTGCTGAGCCCAGCGACTGAGGCGATGAGGTTAAGAAGAGGTCAGAGCACTTGGCTTTGGGAAACCGGGTCTCACTGAGCTTCAAGGCGGGGAAGGGCTTGGGAATTTATTCTAAGTAAGATGAGTGACACTGGGGGTTTGGGCAGTGGCGTGACATGATTGGGCTTGGGTTTTAAAGCTCTCTTTGGCTGCGGATGGAGACCAACCTTGGTTGGGCGGGGTGGGGGTGGTGGTTGTGGCTGTAAAGGCAGAAGGTTCATATTAGGAGGCTGTTGATGTTGGCTGGGTGAGAGAACAGGAGTCTGGACCTGGAGGTGACCAGGAAATGGCGACAAGTGGTAGTTCTGGGGGACAGACGGACTTGGTAGGACCTGCTGAGGATTTGATGGGAGGGGGGTCGGGGAGCATGGGCACAGGCAACAGGAAAGAGCTGGAAGGATAGTCCGTGGATTTCTGGTAGTACCAGTAACTGACCAGCATTTCAGAAACCAAAGACCATTTCAACTACTGCAAAAAAATTAGAAACACGATTTCAGAATGAGGGACAGGCCTTCGCTGGCACATCTGGGCACACAGGTACATTTATGACATCTACATATGTGCTCACATGTAGGCTCAATGTGTGTTAACACTTTTCACCCTCACAACAGCTCCACGAGGCTAGAACTTTACAAACCCCATTCGACAGATGAAGAAACTAAGGCCCGGAGAGCCTAAGACATTTGCCCAGAGTCCCATCATTTGGGGTCCTGGTGGGGCTGGCTATAGAGCCTGCACTTTTTTAAATAAAGATTTTATTTACTGATTGATTTAAGAAAGAGAGAGAGCAAGTGGGGGGAAGGTTGAAGGGAAAGAAAATCTCCAGCGGACTCCACGCTCTGCACAGAGCCTGATGCGGGGCTCGATCCCATGACCCTGAGATCATCATGAGCTGAAACCAAGAGCCAGTCGCCCAGCCGACAGAGCCACCCAGGCAGCCCGGCAGGGTCCCCACTCTCATGCACACCCTTGCTGTATAAGTGTATAAGTCCGCGTCTTTCTCCTGTCACCCTGGAGTGGTGCGAGCACCGTCAAGGGCGATAATTCGTCCGGGTGATGCTGGTGCAGTCCACCTTGTCATTGTGGGATTGGGGGGAGTGGGGCCGAGGCCCAGAGAGGAGCAGCTAAAACCACACAGCAGGTTCACAGCAGGGCGTCTCCCATGGCTCCCAGCTCCTGTCACCCTTTGTCCTTGGTTGAGAAAAGGCAGGGAGGCTGTGCCCTTGGGGGACGTGGGCGCAGTGTGGGGCAGCCGAGTCTGTTTACACCCATGGTAACACCCTGTGCATGTGGGGGTGAGGAGTGGAGGGAATCACATGTAGACAGATCCCTGTCTTCAGGATCTGAGGCCTGGCCTGGAGCTTCTGTTTCTTGGCCTGGGCACTTGGCCTTCTTGGTGCCATCTGCAGCCCCTGAGATAGGAAGGGAATGACTGAGTTGGATGACAGGAGGTGCAGGCTCGTGTGGCCCCAAACCATGAGCTGCCACCACTTAGGCCTTCCAACCTGTCCTATGGCTCTCCTGTCTCTGTCAGTCCTGTCCAAAGTTCTCACCCTGGCTCTGTCTTCCTGTGTGATCAGCCGCAGCCCAGCACACGTCCTGCCCCAAGGGCTTTGCACTTTCTGTTCCCTTGCCCAAGAATGCTGTTCCCTACATGTCCGCATGGCTCTCACCTCACTTCGTTCATGTGTCAAGTGATATCTCCTCGCAGAGGCCACTCCCGACACCCAGTTCATAGGATGGCTCCCACTCCTCACCCAGCTCCCTGCCGGCTTTTTCTTCCTGACTTCTAGCACCACCTACAGGTCGTGTGTGTTTATGCACCACGATTTATTCTGTCTGCCGCCTTGTCCTGGTCCCTTTGTTGTGCAGGTGCCACAGGAGGGACCCTCCCTTCCACAGTGAGAAACCTCATGGCCTTCTTAGGTTTTACTGGGGTTATTTTTGATAGAAATATATATATATATATATATATACACACAGGAAAATGGTTCTCTGTTTTAAGGAAAACACTGGTGCAAACGGAACCAGAGACCACAGGGCTGGCTGACCCAGCTCCAGGATAAGGGCAGCAGCTGTGACTCCATGGCTGCCCAGGGTTACCAGGCAGGACTGCAGGTTTTGGCGGGGGCGGGGGGGGGTCCTTTTCCAACGTGAGATAAGAGAGGGCATCCAGATTTTGTGAGGTTTTCCCAATCGTTCAGTTTGTTTGTAGGAAAACTCTATTCACCAAACCAAACATGTCGGTGGGCTGAATCCAGTTTGCGAGTTGCACCGTTACAACTCTGCTGGAAGGAAACTGGGGGCACTGGTCTGGAGAACAGGGTCCCGGGGCCTCATGTGACTGGAGGGGCCCTGGGACGAGTAGGATGCAGAGGTACGAGCCTGGGAGGATCCACTCTTCCGAAGGAAGCGTTGCTGTCTTAGAGCAGTGGGATGGGTCGGTCGTGATCTTTCCATCTCTGTGGGGCATGGAAGCCAGGCCGGATGAGGGAGACGGATGCAGGAGAAAGGTAGCACAGGAGTAGCCTGGGTGACTGAGCTCAGAATCAGGATGACCCTACAGTTTCTCCCAAGATCATGTTCTTAGGATCAAATTCTAACCCATCCAACCACCCACCCTCCCTCTCTCCCAACCAGCCAGCCAGCCACCCACCCGTCATTCACACAGCCTCCGACCCATCCGTCTATCCCTCCTTTGAATATTGATAGAAGATCTGCTCAGAGCCCTCACTGCACAGATGAGGGACAGAGGAGTTCTAGACCGGCCTCTCTGGCACCCCCCCATTCCTGCTTCCACCCTCGGGAAGTCCCTCTCCTGGGAGATCAGGGATGAGCAGCAGCTAATGGGGGGACAGGTCAGGGCATCTCTGCAGAGGGCCAGTCTCTCCCACCGCATGGAAAAAGTGAAAACCTGTGACTTTTCTCCCAGGACGGAAGCCAGCGGGGCTGGGCTTTTGGAACATTTACAAGTGGCTGGTGGAGAAAACATTTTCTTTAAGAGCATTCCCGTGGTCAGCGTGTGTGCTCATACTCTCTCCTGGGTCTCACCCTTTGTCCACACCCCGCCAGGCCCTGTCCTTCCTGTTCAGACTCCCAGCACCTTTCAGGTCCAGCCCAGACTTCTCCCCGTGGCCACCCAGCTCCCTGCCCTGCATCACCGGCCCTGCCACCCCCCTGGTGCTCCCGTGCTGTCCCCCACATCCCAGCTCCAGTGCCTGGGCCAGTGACACCTAGCAGCTCTCTGACCAGACCATGCTTGCCCCCTCAGTTCTGAGCCTTGGCCCAGGTTGTGCTTTTGGCCCGCACCCCTTCGTCTACCCTTCTCCCTACTCAGCTCAGACCCTGCCTCCTCCAGAAAGCCTGCCCTGACTTCATCTGTAGGGTCAATAGCCTCTTTTCCTGATCGGTGCCTCCATCTTGCCCTGCTGCCCCCTCAGTCCCTCGGTTCCAGCCTCACCAGCCTCCTCACTGCTCTTCAACCCTGCATCTGCTTCCTGGCTCGGGGTGTTGCCCTGAACCCCCCTCTCTGCTCTTCATACTCTGAGCCCCCGCTTCACTCTTCACTGCCCCCCCCCCACCCCGCATTCCAGCCGGCTTCGTTTGTCCTCATCTCTGAGCACCGGCGGGTAGGACTTGTTCACATACTCTATTGCCGGCTGTCTGTGTTCCGCATGGGGGGGTCACCCCCTGAGGGCTGGAGTGCTCTGTTTTCTCCATTGCTAACTTCCTGGTATAGAGGAGTCCAGCGTAAAGCAGGAAAAGCAGGTGCTCGTTAGCTACATGCATGAAAAAACGCAAGCCGCTGCGGGAAGGTTTCGCCAGTGTGCCCAAGGAGGACCCCCTCACCCACTGTTTGCCGCCCGCAGAGCCGGCTACCTGACTCTGTACGGAGTCGAAGCTCTGCCGCGTACCCATGAGAGCCAGGCCCAGGACCGCGCCCACTCAGCTGATGTCTTCCACACCTTCCGCCAGCTCGATCTCCTGCTCCCCAAACTGGCACGTGGCTCCCTTTCAGTGGGTAAGCACCGCGGGAGCCGTGGTGGGTGGTGGGGCAGGCAGAGGGACTCAGGGAGCCCACTCTCCAGGTGAAGCATCACAGACAACCTAAGAAGAAGGACATTTTCTCGCCCAGGGAAGCAGTGAGATCCCTGTCACTGGGCGTATGCAAGAGCACAGTGGTGGGGGGCAGGGTGCAGGCCAGAGCTGGGGTTCCTGGCAGATACAGCACACCTGCAGTAGGGCCTGAACACCTATTTGTGTGTTATTTCTATTCTATTTGTAAAGGTTTCTGTTACTTTTTTTTACTAAGATACAATTTTCTTTTTCTTTTTTTTTTTTCTTAAAGATTTTATTTATTTATTTGATAGAGAGACAGATCACAAGTAGGCAGAGAGAGGGAGAAGCAGGCTTCCCGCTGAGCAGAGAGGCCGACGCGGGGCTTGATCCCAGGACCCTGAGACCATGACCTGAGCCAAAAGCAGAGGCTTAACCCACTGAGCCACCCAGGTGCCCCTGAGATACAATTTTCATAGACGAGAGCTCACAGGTCCTAAATGCACAGCTGAGAGGTAAATCTAAATGCTTCATGGCCTTTCCCAGTCAATATCCACCCCACAGAGGAAGCCACTGGACAGGTTCCTTTCACCTCGGATTAGTTTTACCTTTCTTGGGCTTCCCATAAATAGAATCAGGCCATGTGTGCCCCTCTGTGTCTGGCTTCTGTCACTCAACTTGTTGTCTGTCAACTTCGGCCAGATTGCCTTGTGGGTCAGTAGTCCGTTTTCATGGTAGCGTAGTGTTTTGTTAGGGTGATGTACCATGATTTGTCCATTCCCTGGTTGATGGATGTGGGGTCGTTCCCAGTTTGGGGCTGTTGTGACTTAGGCTGTTCTTGTCTGTGTCTCTCGTGGCCTTCATTTCTCTTAGTTATCAACACTCCGCTCTTACAACGTTGATCTTGCACACCGAAGGAATTGTTCATCCATTTAGCATGTTCATGAAATGCTACATCTCAAGTATTTCCACTTGGGTTTGTGAAAACCCACCCCATTTATTTTTGTGGCTCCCAAGGGGACTCAGTGTTGGTAAAGAGGTTCCGGCAGGATTCAGTACCTGGGGCCATGGGAATCACTGGGCTGCACTGTCTTATGGCCACTGGGTCTCCAACTACCTAGTGAGAAGAATCTCCTGGCGCCCTTGTTAATGGTACAAGTCCCCTGGCCCCATCCTGCTATCCAGGGAGGCCAGGAAACTGCATGTATGACAAGTGGCACAGGAGGTTAGAGAAATAATGTGTGTCCTGGACTCAGATACTTGCAGCAAAACCTGGATTCAGATCCCTGCTGTTGGGTTTCTGCACTGATGACTTTGGGCAAGTTACTTCTTTTTCCCCCAGGTCCTTTCTCCGGAGGGGCCGTTGAGGGGAGTGACTGAGACAGGCTCTCAGCTCAGGTGGCTTGAGATGATTTACTGGATCCTATATATAGTCCCTGTTCCTCAGCGATCTCATCTGTAAAATGGGAAAAACAACAGGATCTTCCCACAGGCTGACTGTTAGGAATAGCTGAGGTAATAAGAAAAAAGCACTTTTCTGTTGAGGACTTTCTATAAGCCAGATACTAGGTTAAACGTGGTCTCATTCAGTGCTCTCAACAGCTTGTGACCCCATTTCCTTTATGTCTTTTTAAAAATCAAAATTAATATTAGATTATTTAAATTAAGAAAGAAACATTCTTGGGGCACCTGGGTGGCTCCGTCAGTTCAGAATCTGATTTCAGCTCAGGTCCAGGGATAGAGCCCTGTGTCGGGCTCCTTACTCAGTGGGGAGTCTGCTTCTCCCTCCCTGCCCACCCCGCTCATGCTCTTTTTCAAATAAATAAATAAAATCTTTAAAAAAAGAAAGAAAGAAATATTATTGGGGTTAACAATCCAAAGATGTCGACAGTAAGAGTAACAATACTCTTCCAAGCCTAGCTTCTTGTGGAAACCAGTGTTAACGTGCTGGTATATACCCCTTCACACTGTTTTATAGGAATACTGCATTTTACGACAAGACAAATATACATATCTGGAGTTTCACCGTGTATTTTAGAAAAGGATTATATCTGTGGTCTGCAATTTAATTTTTTTAACCTAATACTGTAGCTGTGAATTCTTCCCTGTCAACACAAACATCTTCTAGTGGTGTTAGCCAATGCAATTAGATAAGAGAAATCAATTACTGGTGTAAGAATGGGTAGAGAAGAGGTCAACTGTCCCTGTTTGCAGAAGATGTCACGTTATGCTGGGAAAACCCCAGGAAATCCATGATAAAAATAAATCAAAAAAGACTCTAACAAAGTAGAAGGATATAAAATCACATGCGGAAGAATTGAGACATCTTTGTAGCTCTTGCAAGCCAGCATTTAGACAGCCATCCCCCTCCAGTGGATATTTATAATTGTTTCCTTGTATGTGTGTGTGTGGCTATTACAGTATTTTATTGTACTTGTATCTTCTCTACCATCTGGTGATTTTATTCCTCTCTGACAGTTTCCTGGAAGTGGGTTTGCCACGTCAAAGGGCAGGCACATTAAAATTCTTATTAGCTACCGCCACATCATGTCCAAAACCATGGAGCAATTCATACTCCTGCCTGAAGGGAGGGAGTCCGGTCATTCCCCACCAGATGTTATCAGTCTTTCTATTTGTTTGCCAATCTGATGGGCAGAGACGGGTAACTTGTTTTAATTTGCATTTCCCCACAACCTTGTCAACAAGCAGTTATCAGCCTTTAAAACCTTGCCAATCTGTTGGACGAAAAAAAGGCCATCTGGCTTTATGGACATTTCCCCAACCACGGTGATGAAACAGCCGTTTGCTTCTCCGCTCTGAGTTACCTCTTTGCATCCTTTTAGAGACAGCTCCTTGTGTCATTGAATCCTGCCATCAAGGCTAGAAGGTTGGCATTATTATACTCATTTTGCAAGTAGGGAAACCGAGGCTCAGAGAGGTGAAGTCATTTGTCAGGGACACACAGCTGGGAGATGGCAGAACCAGCAAAATGAAAAGTTGGTCTGATTGCAAAATCCTGTGTGTAAAGCACCTGACAAGGCACCCGAAACATCCCAGCCCCCATTGCTTCTCCAGGAAAGAATGGTTTCTTTCCATTGCCCATTCCTCCGTACAAAGGATCCCAGGGACCCTGGGTGGTTCAGGGAGCAGCCCTGCTCTCAGTATAGGAAGGCTGCATTTCCCAATATGGGCAGCAGGTGGCAGTGTTGGGGAAGGTTTCTCATCTTGGGGCTGGAGGCTGGAGAACGCTGCCCCCAGACCTTGTTGGGCTTGCAAAGAGTGCGGCCTCTTTGGAACAGTGATTTGGCAGAATCTATCAAAACAGAAAGGCCCATTCCTTTGATCCTGAACTTCCACTACTAGGAATTATCCTATAGCAAGTCTTGCACATGCCTAGAAACATACAAAGATATTCCTTGCCCCGTTGCTCATAATAGCAAATGTTGCAAACAGCCTAAAGGTTCCCCGGTAGGAACTGATGAAATAAATTATGCATTCACATGAAGGAGAACTGCACCTGGAAAGCAGAACGGGATATGCTGTGATAGGATGAAATCTCTTACGAAAAAGGGGTAGAAAAAGTTGGGTATATTGTGAGGTTTTTTTATTTGTTTCCTGTTTTGTTGAGCTATGATTGACATACAAAATTGTACAAGTTTAAGGCCTACAGCATCATCACTTGACTTACTTATATTGTGAAATGAACACCAAAATAAGTTTAGTTAACATCCCTGTGTTGTTTTTTTTTTAAGATTTTATTTATTTATTTGACAGAGATCACAAGTAGGCAGAGGCAGGCAGAGAGAGGGGAGAAAGCAGGCTCCCCGCCGAGCAGAGAGCCCAATGCAGGGCTCAATCCAGGACCCTGGGATCATGACCTGAGCTGAAGGCAGAGGCTTTAACCCACTGAGCCACCCAGGCATCCCAACATCCCTTTTTTTTTAAGAATGTAGGAACACGTATAGATTTTTGTTTCTGAGGAGGCTGGGTGGTATGAAAATGTCCACTGGAACTCTCAGAGAAGCTTTCTTTCTTTCTTTCTTTTTTTATTTTCACCACGTGCATGTATTATTCCCCTTCCACTATTAAAAATAAAACACATTTTAAAAGAAAATTGACCCTTCATGAGACCTTAGATCCCTGAGTCTGGTGCTTCTCATACAAGAGGGAATTGGGGGCAGTTAAACAGAGCCCCAAGCTAAATATTCTGGAACATTCAATTTACTGGATTATTTGGGAAGGGCCTGTTTTCTTTGAATATTGCTTTGTGGGGGGAAAGGCATTCTTATTTTAAAGAATCACAGAGTCTAATGCAAAAATCTAATATATCTCAAAGGGAAAACACAAGACTTTAAAGATAAGTCCCTCTCTGGACTGTGCCCCCAGGTTCCTGGGGAATAAATAGGCTTCTGAGGAAAAACTTGAGAGGTAACTCTTGTCTGAGCCCCTCGTTTTACAGATGGGGAGACTGAGGTGCAGAGGTAGACAGGGCCTTGGCTAAGGCCACGCAGCCTGGGAGGTCTGGGATTTGAAACTAGTGCCATTTCTAGTTACACGGGCCTGGCCGTTCTGAATCACAGCACTGAATCATTACACTGGGGCTGATGATACCTTAGAATAATGGCAAGAATGAAGCAAGCATGACCTACAAAGCCCCTACCAGTACCAAGTGTATTCTGTGTTTTTGTCTCCTCCTGATAATCCCATGAGCTAGGTTGCTTCCATTTTACAGATGGGAAAACTGAGCCTCAGAGATCCAAATTATTTGCACGACATCATCTTTCTAGGAAGGAACAGCGCTAGGATTTCTACCTGGGTCTCCCTGGCTGTGAACTCTGTGTTGTTTATTTCACAAGCTACTAGTTCCTAATTATAGAAACAGTATGTGAATATATTTTCCATGGACTAATAATTTGCTAATGTTCATTAGTTCACTTAATAATATAGCTACTGTTTACTAGGCCTATGCCTGGCATCGCTCTCTGTGCTTTATAGGTTAACACATTCAATTCCTGCATAACCCTTTGCATGGGAACTCAAGCTATCCCTGTTTACTTGAGTTGAGAGGTGGGGTGGATTTTTGTTGTTGTTGAATCGTAGGAGTTCTTTATATATTTTGGATACTGTACCCTTATCAGATCCATGATCTGCAAATATTTTCCCTCCTTCTACTGATTGTCTTTTCAAACTGCATTGCTTTCTAAAGTCATCCTTAAAAGCTGTGTTGACAGTGATTTTCAAGGTTTGTAGTGTGCGTGTCAGACCTCAAAGAATGCCAGTCATTTCCAAATCTGTGTTACATTTCTCTGCTTTCTTTAGCTTTTTCATCAGATAATTCTTCTAAGCATCCAGATTGAGCATCAACTAGGGCCACTTCAACACTTCCTATACCCTCCATTCACCTGCTGAAACCCTCTGCGTGCCCGGGTCCCACCCCCTGAGGTTCTGGCAAGATTGTTCTGTGGTGGGACCTGGGCATCCAGAGATTTCAAAGCTCTGGAGTGATTCTCCAGAGCCCCCAAAGTTAAGAAACACAGAGAGATAATGTAGTTGATGAACAGTTGTGCTCATTGCTTTAAATTGAGAAGTATATCACCTGAAAGGTGAGAAGTGTATCACTTGTAAGGTGTATCTCCTGAAAGAGTCTAGAGGTTCAAGAACAGCCTACGGGGCAGAGTATTTGAAAATGTAACTAAGATGCTTAAAATATGTGCATAGTTTAATATAAGTTGAGCCTACATTTTCCACCCTTTCAAATGCCCTGTAACACGCAGCCCAGTTTAGAACCATTGGGTAAATGGGTCTTCCTGAGACACTGCTTTGTGGTTCCAAACAGCCAGTGAGAAATTCCTAGTGCCTGCGAATCCTATAACAATCCAAAGCAACATCCACTTTTTCGAAGGGCGATTTCGGAAGAACCCAGTCTTTCATTTGCATACACACGTGTAAATACAGCATCGTCTTGTAGCGTTCACACAACGTACTCGTAGTAAGCACCCAGCTTCACACCCTTGGCAGTCTGCCCTTATGGACCCATCTGGATCTGTGGTTTCCACCACCACCACGGCCCTCCAGAGCGTGACCCACCCGTGTTTGTTTCATGGTCACTGCCAACTGGCGATCCGCAGGCCAAAGCTGACCTTCCAAGATGCTTTTGTGGCCCGCGTCATGATGCACGGTTCTTGCTCAGACAGTAACCTGAAAAAATGGGAAGATTCCATATGAACATCTGGAGTTTTATCATCTTCTGAAAACTTAGCCTCCCTGGCCATGCTGGGCCAGGTTTCTCCATCAGGCCGGTGGGGCAGAGAAGAAGCACCCCGCCTCTCCTATTTCCCATGGCCCCTTCTTGGCCCTCCTCTCTCATTTATCTATCTTCCCTGCCTTCCCTGGAGGTAGTTGAGTGTGAGACCCCAAACCCGTCTGTCCCCACCTGATGGCAGTTAGATTATTTCCCAGTGTCTCCTGAATGCCGCCGTGCTGAGTCTGCTCATAGGGTCCCCCCCGTGAGCACAGGCTGGCGTTGCTCTGGGGTTGGAGCATGGGAAGGGAGAATGCTGCCTGTGTTCCATGTTCCTTCCTCTGCGGCGTAAGAAGCACCATTCACCTAAGGCATACCGATGGGGCGTCGACTGCGGGCCCGGTGCTAGAGACACAGAGACGAGGAGTACCGACCAAGCCCTTCACTCCTGTCCACCGGGGCCGGGGAGACAGAGAATAACAGCTCAGCATTTCAAGGCCTTCCCTGGCGCCTCTTTCCCCATCCCCGAGAAGTGACACCCAGCAGACCCTTGACCTCATGGGACATCAGGCTGGGTGGCCCTGAGCTGGGCTGGGGGGAGATCTGTAACCTCCAGCCTCTGTGCTCTGGCCCCATAGGGGACAAGGACCACGCGTGCCGAGTCAAAGGTCGCCTATGGAAGCTGCTGTCCCCGGCCAGGCTGGCCACACGGGCCCAGCGGAGCAGCTGGCTGGAGAGTTACCTGCAGCACCTGGAGGAGACAGGCGCGTCCGAGGACATGCAGGCCCGGGCCATGGTGCTACAGCTCTGGGCCACGCAGGTGGGTGTGGGCATGTGAGTGGGGCTGCGCAGGTGTGGCTGCTCCTGTGAGCACCTGTGTGTGCTGTCAGGCACACGTGTGTGTGTGTGTGTGTGTGTGTGTACGCGTGCGCATACGTATGTATGTGCATTTGTGAACGCTTGTCCACATGAGTGTGGGCGTGGGTGTGTGACCACAGACCCAGCCATCAGTTCTCTGACTTTCCAGACTGCCAGACCGTTAGCACCAACAGGATGGGTCATTCAGTGTTCAGTTTGGGTTTTAGCTGGTCAAACTGGGAGAAAAGCTGTGCGACTAGTTTAATAAACACTTACATACACTTCACCGATTTCCCCGTTTTGAACATTTTATCGCATGTGTTCTCTCTCTCTCCCCCTCTCCCTCCTCCTTCTTCCCCCACCCCCGTCCTACTGTGATTATTTTACTGAACCATTTGGGAATAAGTTGTAGACATCATGGCTCTTTACCCCTCATTACTTGAGCACACGTTCCTGGGAGCAAGAATTTTTCCTTCCAGAACCCAGTACAATGATCACATTCAGGACAATTAACCCAGATTCAGGATCATTAGTTAATAGTCCCTCTTGCAGTTTTGCTAGTTGTCCCAGTAATGTCCTTTATGGCTCATCTTGGTCTGATGGCCAATGCGGGATCACATGGTACATTTAGTCATTCTGTCTTTTGAGTTTTTTTCAATATGGAACAGTTCCTGTGCCTTTCATTGTTTTTCATGACCTTGACATTTTTGGAGTATGCAGAACAGTCATTTTGAAGAATTATGTAAAAGTTCCTTTGAGTACTTCCAATAGGCCTCAAAGACCTGCTTCTGTTGCTTATGTTTTTGCTGGCTGTGGGGGTGGGGCAGATAGTCAAGGAAACACATATAGGGTGATTTTAGATGTGGATATGCGGGGTGTAAATGGAGTCATGAATAGAGATCCTGCGGTCTCCTGTAGCCAAGGGAGTGGGTGAGGACTCTCTGAATGAGGAGATGTCTGGCTGGTAAGAAAGAGCTAAAGTTGGGAGCTTGGAAGGGAGGTGGGAGTAGAGCCTCCAGTGGGGGAACCACAAGTGCAAAGGCCCTGAGATTGTCTCATACCCAGTGTTTGAGCAACAGCAAGGAGTCGAGTGTAGCTAAAGCAGAGCAGGAAGGGGTGGTGCTGGGAGTGAAAGAGGAGATCATGGAGGGCTTATGGGTCCCAGTAAGTAAGGACTTGGGATATTTCTCTGGGTGAGATTGGGAGTCCTGGGAGTGTTCTAAGCAGAGGAGGGACAGGATCTGAGAGCAAAGGCAGAAGCAGGGACACCAATAAGGAGACAGTGGTGGTAGGACTAGGTGGTGGCCGTGGAGGTGATGAGGATTCTGGAAACAGAGAAGACAACGCCAATGGATGTGGTAAAGGACCAGATACTGGGGAGAGAGTGGGGATCAGGATGCTGCCTCTCGAGGCCTGGTTCCTGCCCTCTCCTGGACTCCAGAGTCCCGTTCCTTCTCTCGGCCCCTCCTCACAGGGACAGCTGCACAGATTGACGTTTCCGGGTAATTCCCTTCCCATCGACTTGCAGCTTATTTTTAGTTTTCTCTCAGAGCCATTAACTGTCCTTGCAGGCAAAGGCTGGCAAGGGGCAAGGGCTGGGTTTAATCAGCAGTTGGGGCCCCATTAGTGCCTAATAACATATTGATGGGCAGAGACTTGGAGTTCCAAAGTGCCCCCAGCATCCCTTGCCGAATGACCTCTGTCAGCAGAACTGGACACTGGCTTGGGGGCTTGAGTGGCAGAAAGTCTAGGGAAGAGCCTTTGGCGGGGCCAGGAGAACTGAGCAGGACTTGGGGACAGGACATACTCTGACTCGGAGCCATTGGCAGCGTGCAGAATCCAGGCAGGTGGGAAGACACTTCGAGAGCCTGAGTCTTGACAAGAGGGCCAAGATGCTGAGTAACCCAGTGGTTTCAGGCACAGGCTCTGTGAGCACCCTGCCTGGATTCGAATCCTGACTTTGCCACTCCCTGGCAAACCAGTCACTTAAGTTGTTGGTGCCTCATTTTACTCAACTGTAAAACAAAAACGGCAGTCCCTTCCTCATGTAAGGGAAGTGAGGAGTGAGGAGGAGAGGAAGGGATGATGCAAAGCCTGGAACTGTGCTTGGAGATAGCTAGAGCTCGGGAGACACATTCAACAGATACTTAGTGAGGGCCCACTGTGTGTCAGTGGAGAAATTCTAGAAGCTGGGGATAGAGCAGTGAGCAGTTCAGAGATCCCTGCTCTTATGGAGCCGATATTCTGGGGAGAGAACAACTGATAAACAAGTAGGCATATTAAAATACAGTCAAGTTCTGCAGAGAAAGGATAAAGCAGGGGAGGGACTAGCAGAGGGGAGTGAGGGAAGGCTGCTTTATATAGGGTGGGCAAGGAAGGCCTCACCAAGAAGATGACATCTGAGCAGAAGCTCAAAGGGAGGGAGGTGAGGGAGCCATATAGATACATAGGATGAGGGTATTCTGAGCTGGGGACACAGCAAGTGCAAAGGCCCTGAGGCGGGGATGAAGATGATGAGAGAGATAGCAGGTGCCAGACCATGCAGGGCCCTGCTTAGACTCTAAGAAAGGATTTCTTAGAGGGCTCGGAAGAGGAGCAACATGGCCTGCCATCTGCTTTAGGGAGATCATTCTGGCTACATTCCTAAGAATTGGCTGTAGTGGAGAAGGGGAAGCAGGGAGACTAGAGATAAGGCCACTGCAGTATCCAGGCAAGAGATGATGGTGTTGGACCAGGGTAGGCCCAGAGGACGAGTACATGCATTCTCCCTTCCGGGTAGAGCCAACAGGATTTGCTGTTGGACGGGACATTGAGAGGGGGCACCAACGAGGACGCCTCCAGGTTTGGGTCTGATTAACAGGAAGGATGAAGATGCTGTGAACAGATGAGCAAGATTGTGAAAGGGGCAAGTCTGGGGGTAGAAAATTCAGAGCGTTGATTTTGGCCGTGCTGAGCTCGAAACGGAGAACTGAGTGGGCGGTAGGGAGGTACACCTCGAGTAAAGAAGAATCTGGAGTTCAGGGTTAAGGTCCAGGAGGGAGATGTGCATTTGGGAGTTGGCAGTGTAGGGGTGACTGGAGACAGTGGGGGCTTGGGTGGATGGAGGAGGGACCAGGCCCTGGGCCTCTCCAGCTGTGGGGGTCAGGAAGATGTGGGGGACCCCACACAGGAGGCTGAGGAGGAGAGGCCAGGGGGCTGGGAGGGGAGCCAGGAGGGAGGCCACCCAGAGGCCAGGTGCAGAAAGAGTTGCGCAAGGGGCAGAATGGTATAACTGTGATTCCTGGTGTCCGATCAGAGTGAAGTCAGGAGGAATAATAGAGGGGCCAGGGAAGCTTCCAGCATCCAGGGCCCTAAAGGGCCACACACTGGACTGAGATCCAAGGTCCAGGACAGGGAGGGGCTGGCTCTAAGGGAACGGGTGGGCAGAGAGAGGAGTTCATGGAGGTCTGCCCACCAGGCCCACGGCAGTCTGGGCTCCCCTCCCAGCTCTGAGAATTTGGGCAATGGGCAATCTTCTTGACCCTAAAAAAAATATTTTTTAATCATAAAAAATGAAAAGAAAGATCGTCTATGATCTCCCAGCCTTCAGCTCTGCTTTCTTCTGCAGCGGCTCCAACCCCAGATGGGCTTCCCCAGCTGTGGCAACAAAGGTCCCTGTGGCTCCTGGCTGTTGGGCAGCCCCTGTGGAGGAGGGCCTCTCCTTCCCTGGGATTCTTGCAGAAATCCCAATCCCCAGTGGTGCTCACTGGCCCAGCCGGGGTCACATGTCCCCTCTGAGGGCATCGCTCCCAGTGGCCCAGCCCAGGTCCCATGGCCACAGCTGAGGTCTAGGGAGGTGGGTCAGCCCCAGATGACCAAAGTGAAGTAGAGGTAGTTCTTTGAAGGAAAATGGGGCTGTTACCCACAGGCAAGGGGGGGAATGCTGGGCAGGCAGGGCTGCAGGTGTCCCCACTCCGACTGACTGATGAGGTGGCCACAAAGTGGCACTCGGGAGTCTCCGGGAGCTGCGCTCTGCACACTTTGAGCGCCCCCTGGAGGCCAACTACCGCCATTCACAGAAAAAGTGGAGCCGAGGACAGGTGCTCCTGGGTGAATGGACTTTGGCTGCAGGGGTAAGGAATGAGGCCAGATGGACGTGTCCTCTTGGGGAAACTGAGGCAAGGCCCTATGGGAGACTCAGCTTCCAGGATAGTGAATTTGAGATCTCTCGTAGCAGTGTGACCACACGCACACATGCACAGTCACACGTCTGTGCAGGGGAGGAAGGCAGCCTTCGCCACCTCCCTAAGTTGCCACAGCTTCTTCCTGAAAGCAGAGATCACTGAGCAGCCTCCTGTTCCCCTCCTACTTCGTAATCAATCATCAGGGGCCCCCACCAGACTGTCTGGGCGAGATAAAATGGCCTTTGCACTGAGTTAACCCAAGGCTGAATTATTTATCATCTACCCTCCCCTGGCTATTTAAGTGATGGACAGCAAGTGACCTTGCCTGTGTCTGCTGGACCTGAGTTCCCCCTTGGGAACTCAGGGTGGGGGAGGGTGAAGAAGGGTGCCGGGAGGAGAGCCCCTAGTCAGTGCCCGGCATGTGGAAGTTGCTTGTATCCAGTCTCAGGCCCCTTGTGGACACCCCAGGAGTGAGCATGTTATCCCCTTTTTACCAAGAGGGAGTGTTTTTTGTTTTGTTTTTAAGATTTATTTATTCATTTATTTTAGAGAGCTGGGAGGGGAGGGACAGAGGGAGAGCGAGAGAGAGGTTTTTGTTTTTTTGTTTTTTTAAGATTTTATTTATTTATTTGACAGGGAGAGATCACAAGCAGGCAGAGAGGCAGGCAGAGAGAGAGGGAGAAGCAGGCTCCCCGCTGAGCAGAGAACCTAATGCAGGGCTCGATCCCAGGACCCTGCAGTCCTGACCTGAGCTAAAGGCAAAGGCTTAACCCACTGAGCCACCCAGCACCCCAGGAGACAGTCTTAAGCAGACTCCACACTGAGTGCAGAGCTCGATGTGGGGCTCGATCTAATGACCCTGGGGTCATGACCTGAGCCAAAATCAAGAGTTGGATGCTTAGCCAACTGCACCACCCAGGTGCCCCTCAAGGAGGTTCTGAGACCCAGAGAGGGAAGAGACTCATCCAGAGTCATAGAAAGGGGGCAGTTGGGATTTGAACCCAGCTCTGTCTGGTCCAGCCCAGAGTTCTGCCAGCCCACCTCCTGGGCTGCTGTGGGACATAGACATTTATTTGACAGATGCCATTGAGCCCCTACTATGTGCTAGGCCATGAGCAGAGACTAGGGAGTGCGTAGTTTTCCTTTCCATGGCAAAGGGTGAAAATGGTCCCTGCTTGAAGGGAGGACTGAGTGAGGAAACGTGGTATCTCCTTGTTAAGGAATTCACAGCTAAAGAAATAAAGGAGAATTTGTGTCCCCATTGTCAATGCTCTGGTGCTCTTGTTTACTACCTTGTTCTGAATGTTTTCTTCTGTGATGAAGATCACCCAGTTTTTAAAATCCACATTTTTAATGTTACTTAATATGGTGTCATGAGCCTTCCTCCTGGTCATTGCAGATCACTATAAAAATACTCATTTTTGTTTTGCTTAAAAGTACTGTATCCAGGAGCACCTGGGTGACTCAGGTAGTGAAGTGTCGTCTGGCTCTCGATTCTGGCTCAGGTCATGATCTCAGGATCGTGAGACTGAGCCCCATGGCGGGTTCCGTGCTCAGCGGGGAGTTTGCTTGAGATTCTCTCTGTCCCTCTGGCCCTCCCTCCTCTCTTTCTCTAAAAAAAAAATAAATAATTTTTTTTGGTTTAAAAAAGTACCGCATCCATTTAAAAAAAAGTCAAACAGTTTAAAAAGACAGATGCGGTGGAAATCAGTACCTGCCCCCCGTCCTTCCCACTTCTGTCCCAGAGGCTCCTTGAAGAGCTGGTCTGTGCCTCATATGATCCGTCATGAAACGTACCCACAAGTGGGAGCACAGGGAAGCCACCTTCCCCATCACGCTTCTGTGCGCCTCAGCTACGGTCCCGTCAGTACACACACCGATGCAAAGCCAGCTGCCTTTTAACGACGTCCTGTATCACCATCGGGAGGACCGATCATCCTTTATCTCATTGATCTATTGATAGACATCGAGATTGCTTCCAATCTTTTGTTGTTATGTCAGCACTGTGATCAGTATCCTCGTGCAAATCCTTTTGTCTGCGTGCAATTATGCGTGTAATAGAGTCACCGAGGAAACATGGTGTGTAATGACTGTTAACGTTATCGAGATGGGATGGTGGACAAACTCTTTCCCCCCGCAGCCGAGGTGAATTGCTGTTCCACCCATGCCTGGAGCTCGTTTCAGGGAACCCCACACACATCGTAGCCACATGCTAAATACCTGAATATTAAAACATTCAGCTAAGGCTGAAGTTTTGGAGCAAGAAATTTTATCCATTTTCCTGATTATTAAACTATTGGGAATTTTTATGTTCAAGAAATTACGGGCTCTCGCTGTCTCCCTTGATTATGGCTTCCTTGCTTCACACACAACACTCAGATATTTGAAAGTAGATGTCTGGATGTGACGTCACTTGGCTGTTGTGTACCAGCCAGCCACAAAAACCCAGTGGCATACACCGCTGAGCACTCACTTAGCTCCCGTGTCTGTGGGTCTGCTGGGAGTCAGCTGCTCTCCACTAGGCTCAGCTGGACCTCTGGCTCTGCCCCGTGAGTCCCGCGTCCTCCTTGCGGGACCAGCAAGCCAGCCGGGCAGGTGGAAACACACAAGGTCTCTCAAGACCTAGACTTCCTGCTGGTGCTCTGTCAGTTCTGCTTCATTCTGTTGGCCAAAGCGAGTCACTGATTCACGGTGACTGGGAGGGGCATGGGTACAGGGAAGGGCAGGGTACTGTAGCTGAGGATGCCGTTATCCTCAGAGGTTAACCACAGTCTTAGGGGATACGCCTGGTTCCGACTTCTGACACTGCTTCACCGATTAGCTATGGAGATTACCTGTGTGAGCTCAGATCAATGAGTTTGCTCAAGGTCAAGGATGCCAAGAATAGCCCTGAGGTCGACATTGGGCTACACCAAAGCCCCAGAGCATATTTGGGCCACGGCCTGAGCCGAAGATAAACATGAGTCATGCCTAGATGTTTGGCAGGTGTGGGAATCTCCGTGCCTTGGCCTGGGCTGTGTTTGTGGCACAGACCGGTCAGCTCTCGCCCCAGGCCTGCCTTCTTGGTGGTATAACGGGCTCCTTCTCATTGCAGGGGAATATGGGTCCTGCTGCCTTCTGGCTTCTGCTCTTCCTCCTCAAGAATCCCAAGGCCCTGGTGGCTGTTCGTGGAGAGCTCGAGCAGCTCCTTTCCAGAGCAGAGCAGCCCATTTCACAGATGACTACCCTCCCCCAGAAGGTTTTGGACAGCATGCCTGTGCTTGGTGAGAGAAGCAGACCCTCCAAATTAGCCCCAAAGACTCGGTCATTGTGGGCACGCTAAGCCCTTCCCAGCACGGACTCCCACTGTCCGGAGTCCATTGGCGTCCTCTGACCTAGGATCCCCCTAGACCTCCTATCTTCTTATACCTGGCATCTCTGTGCCCTTCTCTCAGCTGCTCAGGACTCATGGACTCAGTCAATCTGTGGTTGCCATTGGCAGAAAACCTCACTTAAACTGGCTGAAGCAGAGGAAGGACTTTTTTTGAGGGCGTTAACTAGAAAGTTCAGAAGATAGCTAGCTTCAGGCACAGGTGAACCCAGGTGCTTTAACAGAGCTCAGTACTCCCTCTCAGCCCTGCTCTGCTAGGTTGGCTCCAGTCTCAGGCCTGCGGAGGGTGGGAGGGTATACTTCTCTGCAACAATGGTACCCAAAGTCCCAGGAATTTGTCTTTGAGTTATATGTCCACCTGAACCAAGTCCAACCCAAATTTTCAAAAATTGGGGTTGCTTGGATTGGCCAATTACACACAGCCCTTGGAATTGGGAGTAGAGTCAACAGCCCAACCTCTGAGACCTGGAGAGGGCATAGTCCCCAGAAGAAAACCAGGGAACTATGTCCAGATGGGGACTGTAAGCTGGGCAGACAGAAACAACCAATATCGATGGCCTTGCTCTCCCCTAGTCTGCTCTGATATCTCCCTGCCTCCCCTGGTCCCTCACAGATTCTCCTAGAGTCAGACCCAAACCCTCACATCCCTCTGAGGACCACAGTAATCATATCTCATCACTTGGCCTTTTGTGGCCTCACTGTGTGACGGTGGGCAAGTTACACACCCTCTCTGAGCCTGCCCACCTTCCTCTGTAAAATGAGGGCCGCGGGTGACATGTGAGTGTGTGAGGGGACAGCTGCTGACCCTTCCTGGTACTTGTCTGTGCAGATAGTGTGCTGAGTGAGAGCCTCAGGCTCACCGCCGCGCCCTTCATTACCCGGGAGGTTGTGGTGGACCTGGCCCTGCCCATGGCAGATGGGCGAGAATTCAGCCTGCGACGTGGAGACCGCCTCCTCCTCTTTCCCTTCCTGAGTCCCCAGAAAGATCCGGAAATCTACACAGACCCAGAGGTAAGTTACATACTCGAGACCGTGCGGGGGAAATCAGTGGCTTTGGGACCAGTCAGATCTGAGTGGCAGCCCACTTCTGCTCTTTGCTGTGTGACCATGCCCAGATTACTTCACCTCTCTGTGTCCCTGTTTTCTCACCTGTGAAATGGACCTCATAATAGCACCTGCCTCGCAGGGTTGTCAGGAAGATTAAATGAGAACATGTAAGAAAGGCCTTCACAGTACCTGGCACACACAGAGTGCTCTGTAAGCGCTAGCTGAGCAATTTTCCTTTTTTTGGAATGTTACAGTGTCAGCTTCTCAACACTTTTCTCTCTCCCTGGGCTTTGAGGTGGGTCAAATTTTCATAATTTCTAACAGATTTGGGTGCTTACTGTGTGCCAGGCCCTGTGCTGTGTATCCGTCCACCCACCCACCCACCCACCCTCACATCCCCCCACCCACCTATTCAGGCATCCATCCCATCCACCCACCCATACATCTGTCCACCCCATCCACCCACCCATCCATCCATCCTTTCCAGCCATCCACTCACCCATCTGTCCATTTGTCCACCCACCCACCCATCCATCAACTCACCCTTCCGTCTCTCTGTCCACTGATCCATTCCCCTTCCTTCCACCCTCCTTTCATTCACGACCTCCTCCGTGCCAAGTCCTGTGCTCAGATACAATCTCCCCTTTCCATTCTACAATGTAACCAAAGGAAATTGGCATCCTCTTTTTTAAAAATAAATTTTTAAAATAACCTCTGTGCCCCTACCCGGGGCTTGAACTCATGACCCTGAGATCAAGAGCTGCATGCTCCCCTGACAGAGCCCGCCAGGCACCTCTAAAAATCATTTTAATCTTTAAATTTTAAACTGCCTACGCCATATATGCTTATAAAGTGAAATATACAGGCACGTATGTTTAAAAGTAAAAATTTTCCTTTATTCCTTTTACTTTCCAGTTCCACAGAGTTCCCTAACAACAGTTTGGAGTGCAGCCTTTAAGTTATTTTTATGTCTTTGCAGACATACACACAACACACTCACACACATAGGAACAGATAGGTGTGTGGACAGGATCACACAACACGTGCTCTTCTGAAACTTCAGCAACTGGTCTAAAAATTTCTGTGCGCACACACAGACCAAGCTCAGCCTCCTAAACGGCTACCGTAATTACTTTAACCAGTCCACTATCGATTGACCTTTACAATGTTTTCAGTCTACTCCTCTTATAAACAACACTTTGAGGAACATCCTGACACGATTTTCTTCGGGGACACATGTTGTGGGGGCGGAGTCGGAAAATGGACCTCCTTCCTCTTCCAGGTATTTAAATATAACCGATTCCTGAGCTCTGATGGGTCAGAGAAGAAAGACTTTTACAAGGACGGGAAGCGACTGAAAAATTATAGCATGCCCTGGGGAGCTGGGCACAACCAGTGCCTGGGGAAGGCTTACGCCATTAGCAGCATCAAACAGTGAGTGTGGGGGCGGGGGAGGGGGAGCGGGCCTCATGGGGGCGGTTCCTGCCCCAGCTCCTTGTCACACGCCCTCCTCTTCTGAGATCGTGGCTTCTCAGCCAGGAAAATGGGCAGAGGCTCCAGAGGGCCTGTGAGCCATCTCCTGCCCACAGATCTGTTTGTTTGTGTGCTCGAAATGCCTGCTAACTTTGAAGAATCAGAAGATCTCACATAAAAAGCCAGATTTCTGGTCTCTTTTGAAATAATCAGATCTGGCAGTGAGCTCTTCCCTCCGAACGCGGCGTCCGAATACTAAACACGGGACGTTCTGTGCAGCTGACCGCCGCCGTAGACCCCCTCGGCAGGAACTGGCCAAACGGCATTGTTCCCTCTTGGTTATTTTAATGCCTGTGGACCCGAGGGCCTTATAAATTCTCTTCTCTGGATCCCAAGAGCCTTGGCTCCCAGGCCACAAACAGATCAGGCCAAGGTTAGGACATTCGCCCTGTCCTGTGCCGCCCCCATGTGACTGTAAGCTGGGTGACCGGCCGTGTCTGGGTCCTCAACTGTCCAGCTGGGGGTACTGATCATACTATACCCCAGGGGTGTCAGAACAAAGGAATTGGGTCTTGCGAAGTACTTAACCCACTGCCTGGCTCCTTGTAGGTATCTAATAAGGACTAGTTATTACTGTAATTACCAATATGCCGGCATTGTGCCAAGTGAATGGGCACGTTACATTAACCTATTGGTCTCCGTTTTCTCAGCAGTGAAACGGAGCTCCTAGTATAGCCTGTTCTGCCGTGATGCTGCAGGTTATGTCCCTAAAAATCATGGCCATGTGAAACCGCACAATAAAATCCACAGGGATTTGGGGGGGAAAATGGGGCTGGGACCCAACAGACAAAAAAACCTCCTAAGTGCCACGTGCAAGTTAAGAACCCAGAGGGGAGAAGGTCGTACAGGCTCACACGTGTTTCAGGGCTGAGCAGTACGTAGGTACTGCCGTCAGTATGGTGTTTGACCTTGAAAACCACCTGAAGCTTGGTGGTGGAAGCGGGCGGTGGGCTGGTTACGGCTGTGCTGTGAAGCGTGGAAGGAGGGTCCCCTGAAATCGGACACCCGGTGTCCGTGGGGGCGCACCAGCCGCCCTGGGAGCCAAGCTCTCTGGGGGAGGTCAGGTGTGTGCGTGCGTGGGTGCCGGCTCAGTGGGCCCCCCTGGGTTTGGCTTTGCATTGTCCTCGTGCTTCTCGCACACGAAACACATGAGCAAATAGGAAATTTGCCTGAGGCCTCCTCGGGGCCCCAATACATCCATCACGTTGAAACAGACCCACGTGTTCAAAAGTGTTGTAGCAGAACTGACTGCAGGTCCTACTTCATCAAGTTTTTGGACAGATAAAAAGAGACCTGGGATGCTAAATGCTTAGCCCAGCGCCTGGCACCTAGCATTTCAACAAATCAGTCAATTTGTTATTTGCTCTCCCCTCACTGTCCTGCAACACTGCTGGGTAGGGGTTAGTCCAATACTGACTCTGGAGGTCAGATCACCTGCATCTGTGTGACGGTGCCTCTGGGTGAGGGGAGGTGCCGGGATCCCCATCCAGCTGCGGGTACAGAACTCCCCACCCTGTCTAAACTCACTCTCCGGCATCCTATAGCTTCAGAGTTGGGACAGATCCATCCCACCTCTTTAACTTCCTTCGACCAGGTGGGGAAACTGAGGCCCAGGGTGGGAAAGAAACTTGATGAGGGTCAAGAGACAGAGCCATGTTTGCCTAGCTCTGCTGTGGAGAGCGTGGACTTCACTCTATCTTCAGAGCAGACAGTAAGGGTTCCAGGAGCTGGGTGGGGCGCCAGGGGTGAGGAGGACTCTGGTCTGCAGGAGTCGGAAAGGGTCACTTAGTCAGGAGGACTCATCAGGTGATGCTGCTGTAACAGGGCCCCTGTGGCCTGCGACAACGGGTTTAGTTCCGGCTCACTAAGTGGGTTATGGGTGTGGGAGCCCCTGGCCTCCACACACAGATTCAGGGACCAAGCTCTTTCCATCTCCCCACTCCACCGCTCCATCTCGAGGTACATGCAGTCATCGGGCAGAGAGCACACGGGGAGTCTCGTGCTCACCACGCTGTCTTTGGTGTGGAGTCAACCCTTGTCACTTCTGCTCCCAGCCCCGGGGTGGGAGCCTCCTAGCCATGGGTCAGGTGGACGGGGAGGGGCTCGTGCACTCCAGGTGGGCAGGAACCACCTGGGGTCAGACTCAGGAGGAAGCCATTGCCTTCCTGCCCTATTCCAGAGATGCCCCCTCGCCTCCCAATCCTGCACACCTTCAACACCATCTCTCTGCAGATTCGTGTTCCTCGTGCTGGTGCACTTTGACCTGGAGCTGATCAATCCCGACGTGGAGATCCCCGAGTTTGATCTCAGCAGGTACGGCTTCGGGCTGATGCAGCCGGAACACGACGTGCCTGTCCGCTACCGTGCCCGGCCGTGAGCTCCAGGAGCAGATGGGGCTCCACACACATGCCTCCACCCAGCCTGCCCCCCATCACCCAACTTCCTGTGTCTACGTTCGCCCTGGGTGCAGGAGCTTTGACCAATGGGGCCAGCACTTTCCTGATCTTTTCCTAGAAGGCTGTATCCGGGGAGGGGAATGAAGGTACGCTGAGAGGAGGGGGATGAAAAAGGACACCAAAAGCTCTGTGAATTGTCTGCAGCTATGACTGAGTTCCACATGAGGCTCTGCTCCCAGCTCACCTTGTTCCCCCCCACTGCCCCGCCCCACCGCCACTGTAGGATAGCCACAGAAGCTGGGGCAGGCAGGGCAGAAGTGGAAGTTCTGCCATGTCCCAGCTCCCCAATAGGGCCAAGTTCTTGACAGTGCTGTGGTCCAGGCCTTAGCTAGTCAAAGCAGATCCTGCCTTTAAAAGGGCCAACCAGGGCCTCACAGTGTATCTATTGAAATAAGCTGTGTCCCCAAATTATTGTTAAACTAGCCAACACCAGAGGAGTCCCTTAGAATATGCCTTCCCTAGGCTCCCCATTCACTAGACACATCCCTCATCTCCAATCACACTGACGCTTGAGAAAAGTCAGGAAGGTTTTCCCAAAGGTCAAGGTACAGATCATGAGCCCCCTGCAAAGGCTGGGCTCTGAGGAGTAGAGTTCTCTGTTCTAGACATACAGCATCCAGATGGGAGAGCTTTCCCAGGGTCGAGACTCGAGTAGGGAATAAGGAAGACAGCCCAACAGGATGGTCCTGATGGAAGGAACCAGCCAGGGCTCCTGGGAATGGTTAAGCAAAAAAAAGAGGTGTTGGTTTTCTACATTCTAGGTGTTGGTTTTCTACGTTCTAGCTTGGGAGCTCCAGCCGCGGCGTATGGTCCATTGGCAGACCTGTTTCATTTGGCCTACACTTATGAAAAAAATACATGAGTTGTTACCATGTCATCTGGGGGAGAGTACATTTAAAATGCCCAGCTTCTCTTGAAAACTTGGAAGAGCGGGCTGCGCTGGGCCCATATTCCCAAGGGCAGCTGTTGGCCGGGCTGAGCAACAGCCCACTCCCTTACCCAGGCCATGGGCATTCTGGCTCACGAGGGTTTCCACGTGGTGGAAATTTTTTTCTGCTCCATTCACAGTCTCGTGGCCCTTGAAGGCATTCCTGTTTGAGAGCCCTGTTCTGATTCTTAGAAGTGATATTGGAGGAGGTGGTAGGAACCTACTCATTGGTCCTCAGGCCAGTGACCCTCCCTATCCTGGCTGCGCCACCCTTTGAACAGACAGATTAAGGATGAAAACTTGCCTTTGCCTCAGCTTTAGAGAAAAACAGGTCAAAGAGAAAAACTGCCTGGAAACATTTATTCTGATGTTAAGTATTATAATGAACATTAGGTCCTGTTTACTGAGGATCCTCTTATAGGCCCCTGACAGGCACAGTGGATGCAGTATTTCTGCTTCTCGCAGCATCTCTATGAAGAGAGGACGATTAGGCCTTCTTGAGAGATGAGGAAATGGGCTCAGAGAAGTGATGTGACTTGGTAGGATTTGGCAGAATTATTGTCCCAGTAGCACACGGTAGATGGGCAGCTCTGCGTTCCTTGGGCTCAAGGGGGGTGGTGGAGGGCCAGTTCCAATTCGCATTGGAGAGCTGACAGAGCCAGAGGCACCCATGGCTGGCAGAGTCTCACGAGACACAGACATGCATATGCACGCATAGCTCGGTCTCTGTAGCTTTAGCTGGAGGGAGGAGAGGACATGAGATCTCAGAACGGTCCAGGGGCCAGTCTCTGCTCGGAACCGGGCCAGGGCTTGGGGGCTTCCCCGGCCCTCAGCCTCCAGGCACCTCCAGGATTCCCAGACAGACGCTGTGATTGGCAGGAGGCAGGATATCCCCAGGGAAACCCATCTTCACGCCTGGGTGACCCCCGCTGCCGCCTGCTTCTTAACTCTGCAGGAAATCAGGGTTGGCAGCCTTCCGTGGGAGGACTGAGCCGGTTTCCATGGCAACCGTAGCTGCCGCCTCCTGGCTTGGAAGGGAAGGAAAAGGCTGGCAGAAATAGATGCAGGAAGGTCTCTCCGTGTGGGGCTGTACCCTGGTGCGCTGGGGAAAAGCCCTTATGACTGCCCCCACCGCCAAGTCCCGGCTGCCCTATCACCGGGACTAGGTTCTCACCCACGTTCCCAAAAAGGCCAATTCCTTTTAAAGGTGGTGCCTCCTTGGAGCCACAGACATTAGGAAGAGATGGTTCTCCCACCAGGCGGCCCCAGCTGGTACCAAAGATACTGAAGCAGAGCTTGGGAGCCGATCCTTTAAGCCCTCCCTTGTTTTAATCCTTTTTCCTTTTTTCTTCCCTCCACCCACCCTTTTCTTCTTTTCAAGAAAAAAAAAAATCAATATAAGATATAGAGTAAAGAGGGGAAGATGCATGTGTTAGCTCCTTGCTGTAGGTTAGTTAGGAAGGTACCGGGACATTGTTGTATTTCTTCAGACTTCGCTTTAGAACCACAAAGGTGCAGGACGCAAGTCAGAAATGCTCTTAGGCCAACCTGATGAAGCGTTTCCTTCCCATCGGCATTATTATTTTGTTTGTGTTCTATTTCATATTGTTGTTTACCAGCTATTTTCCTTTAAAACAGACTCATTGTTTCAACTTTAAATTTGCTTAAAAGGGGGAACTTTATTCCACCGCAGCCAGTAAAGGACAACATGTATCACTCGCTACAAAAAATAGAAAGTGGCTGTGAAAAATACATTGCGGGGGCGGGAGGGGAGGAGGCGGTGGGGAACGGTGGGAGGGCCTCTGGGCCCCTGTCGCCGAGGCTCAGAGCCTGAGCTCTGGCTCTTCTCCGTTGTAAAATGAGACAAGCAAGCATTGCCCGGCGTGTTACAGCGAGGTGGGCACCACCCCAGACCTTCTCCCTGACCATCCCTGGCTGGAAGAGGAGTAAGCGAGCTCCGCCCCTTCTCCGGCAGCCGGCTGGCCCCGCCCACAGCGAGCTGGGAACGGCCCACCTGCCCATTCTCCGGATGGAGAAACAGGCTCCGGGAGTTCAAGTGTCTTGCCAAAGTCCTTGATCTTGTTGTGCGTGGTGTGTGTGTGTGAGCGCGCGCGTGTTAATAAACACAGTGTTTGGGGGGGTAGCAGTCATGATTATGCCTTGCTGTTTTAATAAAGAATTCTATTTTAATATAATCTCGATGAACAGAAAAGTGCTGAAATGTATTAAACCATCCTTGTTTATGGAACTGCCTCTGAGTGTGATTCGGGTTGACCGTTGGCCATGTCCGCGACGGCAAGGCTGGTTTCTGGGAAGGGAGCACAGAGGACCCACTGTGTGCCTGCTTTGGGACAGGGCCTTTTGCATGGCAAGCGTTCCTCTGTATATTATGACCCATTTTTACAGATGGAGAAACTGATGGTCGGAGAGGTGAAGTGGCTTGCCCGAGATCACGTGGCTAGTTAGTAGCCACAAGAGTTGAGGGCAGCCCTCTCTGCCTCCTGAGACTGTGTTCGGGATCTTTCTATCAACAATCCTGTAGGCAAAAGAGGGCCCAGATGCCCATAGAGGACCTTGGGATAGGAGGCTCGCAACCCAAAGTAAGACAAACAGAAAAAAAATCTTCTGAAAAATTCACTGGATGTTCTCTGTCCTTCACTATAACATATGTATTTGGGGTTTTGTTTTGTTTAAAGATTTTATTTGTTTGAAAGAGTGCATGAGCAGAGGGAGGGGCTGAGGGAGAAGCAGACTCCCCGCTGAGAAGGCAGCATGGGGGAACCATGTGACCCGTGGCATGCTTGGGGTAGGGCTCTGTCCCAGAACTCTGGGATCATGACCTGAGCCGAAGGCAGACACTCAACCAACTGAGCCATCCAGGTGTCCCTGCATTTATTTTAATACAAAAATGAAGAGGTGAAATAAATTAGATTTGGGGAAGATAAAAAGAAAATTGTTTTTTCTCTCCAATCTTAGATGAAAAAGTAATTTCCCAAGGTAAATGTCCCTCGCATCAGGTTCCTCGTTTATAAGGGGGCATGGAGGCATGGAGGCAGGTCTGGTGGGATTGAACTTGGCTGTGATAGACCTCTCAAGTAAGACAGTGACATTTTTTTTTACATATGTTTCCATTCAATATAGCAGACAGTTCTTGCCCTTCCATCCAGATACAGGAGACCAGAGGTGGTGTGGCAGCTCCCCTCCCTTCTGGTTGCTCCAGCATCTCTGTGTGTGTGTGTAAGATGGTGTCAAGTGGGGAGAGTTGGTGGCATGCTGTCCTCTTGCCCTGGGACCTCCCCCTAGGACCCGCTCTATGTGAGAAAGAAGGAAATACTCAGAATTCTGGCAACTGTCTCCCCAAACCCAAAATGCCATGAGATGCCTCCCCATCTCTGTGGAGGGGATGATAGGCAGGGGACGCAAAGCCCATCTGGGGCTGGCCCTGTGTCAGAGGGGCCATCACTCTCCCTTGAGGGAGGGGACTTGTCACGATTGTCCTCAATTTGAAGACTGAGGCCACAGCAGAAACTGAGAACTCAGAAGTCTTTAAAACACCATTTTACATACTAAAGGTAAAAATCAAATCAGCTACTCCCTGCTTAAGACTCTCCAAGGCTCTTGACATAAAATCCAAACACCTCTCCACAGCCTTCACCTACGTAATTTTTCTCCTTCTCTGTTTTTCTCTCCAATTCCTTCTTGGACCACTCTTGCCCTCCTCACTTAGTCTGCTATGGCCACACCCACCACATTCCATCTCCTTCAACCCTCTTGCCCCAGGGCCTTTGAACCTGCTCTCCCTTCTACCGTTAGCTTGGAATGCCCTTCCCCTTGCTCTTTTATGGCTTGCTAATTACTCTGATTCATCATTCACCTGTAGCATCCCTCCTCCCTCCTTTCTGTTGTTCCTACATTCATACTTTTCTTATTTCCTTCTCAGCAATGATCAATATCAGATTATTTTTAAATGTCTCTGTTTATGCCTCCCAGTTGAATATGATCTCCAGGAAGGAAGGTTAGCTTTACCACTCCCTCATTCCTAGCATGCAACATAAGCTTGACACATAGTAGGTGCTCAGGAAATACACACTAAGAGAACAAGTGGTCTTTTCACTCA